TGGAGAAGAATTTTTAGAGTTCCTTGGAGTACAAAGAGGTGAAATCAATCAATCCAGCTAAGCAGAGTGCCCAACATCAGCATATCATACCTGAAAACCCTAGCAGTGGCCAGGCAACCAAGGGCCAAAAAAACAGGGAATAAACGATAAGTACAAAATACTTGAGGAAAGAAAGGAAAGGGATAAAGTTTCAAGGCAGGGAGTAGATGGTTAAGAGCAAAGCATCTCCTAGAAAAAAGCTTGAGATTTCCAAAAAAAGAGAGACATACATATTATTTCATAAAGGGTCAAAAACTCTTGTAAATTCTTAAAATTTTAAAATTTTGGAATTCCTTTTTTAAAAGAAAAATCATTTTCCAATTTTTAAAATTTCTTTTTTCAATTTTTAATTTTTTTTTCAATTTCTTTTTTCAACTAAAAATTTAAAAAACAGTAAAACTTTATTTACAACTTGAAATAAATAAATAATTAAAAAAAAACACAGAAAAAGAGACAGACTCTTAAAATAGGGAAGATAGTGATGAATTTTTCAAGAGAGAGAACAAAAGGTCAAGAACTCTTGGATACTATTGCAAACTGACACTTCACAACAGGGAAAATATTTATATTTTTAGACATTTTAATTTTTTTAAAAAAGTCATGGAAATAGACACTGACACTATAGTGACTAGCAAAGTGTGCCATATGTTTCAGCTTATGCCCACATAAGTCAAATACTTTGGCCACCTAATGAGAAGAGAGGACTTATTGGAAAAGATTCTGGTTTTTTAAAGATTGAAGGCAAAAGGAGAAGAAGATAACAAAGGATGAGATGGTTAGATAGTGCGATCAGCACAATGAACATTAATTTGGGCAAATTCTGGGACAGTGGAGGACAGCGGGGGCTGGGTTCATGTGGTTGCAAAGATTCATTGGTGACTGAATACCAACAATAACTGTGGTAGCTATTTGAATTTTGAGGCAGTACAGGAACACTTAAGTCCAGGTGTTCCTTTTTTAATGACTGCCTGTTCAGCAACCATCTGAAATTGCAACAGTGCAGAACAAGTGGTACTTATGACTTCCTTACTGTGCTTATTATTATCACAATCCTGGAAGTCAACAATTGACCTGGATTTCTGACTGTTGTGGCATCCCACACTTACTTGATTGTGATTTGCCATCTATCTTGCTGGCTTTCCATAAGCAAAATCAATGGGGAAGCTAAAAGGAAATTGAAAGTTGTGATCACATGAAGTCCATGTTTAAAAACCTATACCTGTAAAATTTACAATAAAATTGAAAGTAGACTTACTTTTAGAAAGTAAAATCTATAATTAATTAAGAAAATAATTTTAGGAAATCATGTTTTCCCCAAAAATATGACCTACCCCAAAAATATGACCTAGTGTGATTTATCATGCTGCTCACAATATAACCGTACCCCTTTCAAAGTAAGCCCTAGATCAGAGCATCAGCAGCAGGGCTGAGGTGGTGGGTACAGCCAGCATAGGAGGTGGCGAGCATATGTGTGGGGCCAGAGGGTGTCCACAAGCAGCTGCAACCTGCGTATGGCCAGTGAGGAAGGGGCATGATCTGTCCCACCACCTGTCTTTGCTTGCAGAGTGTGCAGCAGAACTGGAGGACCAGGTTGGACGGTGGGGGCAGAGAAGGCAGGGACTACGCCATGGCACCATCCACACCCCCTCCATGTG